ATCCAATCAATTCCAGGCTTTGTGTAAGACCATTGCAATTGTGGTTTGAAAAGGGGGCATTCCTCATGTCAACAGATGTTACGTACAGTGAATAGAAATAAAGTTGAATCTCCTTTCTTAATTATCACTAAGACATACAGAGGATTAATATGAAATCACTTTAAAATATTATACCAAGAGCTGATACTGTGAACATGCTGTAAGGGTGAGATCTGACCTATAGCCAGGCCTACATGGGCTTTGCTCTTGTCACATCTTAAAAAGTAAATGGAGTTTGGCTTCATCTGTATTTGAATGGGCCTCCTCTCATTCATGAAAAACTCAGAATGCTGTAGAAAGTGGTGGTGATTACCCCTCAGGGTTACATGTACAATGACAAAATTTAGACCCAGAGTCCGCCACCAGTGCAACTTCCGCCAGGGGAAGCTACCCTGTAAACTGGACTCTGTGAAATGTCAAGCGGTAAAAATGATTGATTCCTATCTGCACTACAGCTTCCAACATAGTTACTAGTTGAGAAGGAAGTGTCTGGGTTTTTTTCTTCATCTAGAAAAGGCATCACTGCACTCACACTCATTTCTGCAAGGGTACCTCAGCTAAAACCTTGCTAAGTGTTAACGCAATGGAGGATAAGGCACTGAAGTGGGAGTCAGGAGAGACAGCTTCTCAGTCTGGCTCTTCTACTGACTTGCTTCATGTCCTTCAGTGAGTTACTTCATCTATCTGTGAACTGGTTTCCCCATCTATAAAATGGAGAGATAACACTTCCCTACCTTTTGTAACAGACTTTGGGATCTATACATGAAAAGTGCTAATTAAGAACTAAGTATAATTATTTATAATCATATAATGCAGGACCCTTTTGTTGTCCTTTTCTTTTTAACGTTTGCTCAGTGTGAATTCACCTCTTTAATGCTGACACCTTTCTAAATGAAACACAAAAACCAGACTCTTCTGATGCATCAGAGTTGTTACAAAATTAGATGCTCTAAAATTGCAAAGCAACTTCTATACTGATGCTTTCCTGGGAAATCCAAGCTATACTAAGTTTAAATGAGTCTTTGGTTTGTTTCTGAAAGCTTAAAAACCTTCTGAGAAACAACTTTCCACATGTATTCATGGAAAAAATAAAAACTAGCTTAAAGTAGCTTTCAGGTAGGGTGACCAGATGTCCTGATTTTATAGGGACAATCCTGATTTTTGGGTCTTTTTCTTATATAGGCTCCTATTACCCCCCACCCCGTCCCGATTTTTCACGCTTGCCATCTGGTCCTTTTCTGACCCTACTTTCAGGTAAAGGAACAGGGCAGAACAGTCAATGGGCCCCCACGCGCACACAAGCCGCGCCCTTGCAGATGCAGTCTGCCTGCATTTGGGCAGTGCGGGGTTGGGCTCTGGAAGGGAGTTTGGGTGCGGAAGGAGGTGTAGGGTGCAGGCTCTGGGACGGAGTTTGGATGCCGGGTGCAGGCTCTAGGCTGGGGCAGGGGTTGGGGTGCAGGAGGAAGCCAGGGAGTCAGCGCTTACCTCAGGCGGCTCCTGAAAGTGACCTGTACATCCCTCTAGCAGTGGCTCCTAGGTGGAGGGCCCAGGGGGTCTCCGTGTGCTGCTGCTCCAATGGGAGCTGCGGAGTCGGCGCTTGGGGCAGGGGCAGCATGCAGAGACCCCTTCCCCAGCGGCCGCAGGGACGTGCCGGCTGCTTCTGGGAGCGGTACGGCACAAGGGCGGTCAGGAAGCCTGCCTTAGCCCCGCTGTGCTGCCAGCAGTGGCAGCCAGGGCCCCCCGGGCCCTTTTAAATCGCCCAGGCTCCTGGGCAATTGCCCCCTTTGTGTGCACTCCCCCCTCCCCCCGTTGGTGGGCCTGATTTCAGGCCAAATCTATTGTTGAGGCTACCCCAATAATTTAGTCACCCAGTTTAGAATGAACAACTATTTCCAATAGTGGAGTTTTTCTCTGCAGAAAAGTGAAAATTGTGTTAACTTTTTGTTCTTTCCCCTACAGCAGATTGAAGATGACCTTACATTTTTGTGAATAACACCACCTTCAGACTTTTTGTAAATTTAAAAAACAAATCACTAGAGCTCAGGGAACAATTCACAATGAATAATTAATTTCACACATTTTGACATGTTTTCTGCTTTAAGAATATCAAAATTTTATTAATAAATCTCTTCAAATATTCAGCCTGTGGATTGATCATTATTTATTTCAGTAGCACTTGGAGGCCCGGCTGAGATCAGGACCACTGTGGCAGGTTATATACATAATAAGACACCACCCTGGCCCTGAAGAGTTTGCAATCTAAATATTCCAGTAGTACAGAAGGCGGGAGAAAGGAAGAACTATTATCTCCATTTCACAAATGGAGAATTGAGGTGCAGCCAAGATTTTCAAAAGCACCTAGTGATTTAGGGTGCTTCAATGTTTCGGTCCCCAACGTGATCTTCTTTGAAAACTGATCTGAATAACTTGCCCAAGGTCACACAGGAAGTCAGTGGCAGAATCAGGAACCAAATTCAGTTCTAAGTCCCAATCTAGTGCTTTAATCTTAAAACCAGCCTTCTTCAGAGGCAGTTGCTAATATTCTTAATTGAAACCACGCTGTTTATTAACTACAAGCACTCCAGCCTGATTCCGCTCGTGCTTTTGGAAACCTCTAGTCCACATGAGGCATGCTCAGGGAGTTGATCAAGGTTTTTCTATCTAAGAAGTCCTCAAAATGCTACAGATTGGCTTCTCTCTCATTTTAGCAAAACGAGGCTCCATTTCAAATCATGCTCACCCTTATTCTCCTCTGTTTAGACTTGTTCTCACATATGCCCATGCTGCTTGAAGGCACCTGTTTAGATAGATGTCCCATGTAAATAAACAAGTTCAATATTGCTTCCTTTTTTACTCAGTGACAAAACTCCCATTAATTTCTATGGGTCAGGGTAATACTAAAAATGAGAAGAAGTCAAAACCAGAACTGAATTCCACCTTGAAATTTGGGGATATGGGATCTGAACTTCCTGAGTCAAGTCCATCACCTACCTCTACCATATTGAAGAGACAGTGAAAGTATCTCCAATTTTAAGAACAGAGTCCGTATGGCCAAAACTAGTTCTCCTTTTGGTTCTTTTTGTTGGCTCAACTGGTTAGCTGGAGCCTGAGTAGGACTGTACATCTCTGAGATATGTTTTATCTGGGAGATGGAGATAAAAGATAATAGTAACAAACTCTTTCAAGATACCTAGCAAGGTAACATAAGAGAATAGAACATAGCAGTTTCTCTCTGCCATCACAAGTTAACTCAGAAAATCTCAAGTACAAGTAAAAAGAAGAACAGGAGGACTTGTGGCACCTTAGAGACTAACAAATTTATTAGAGCATAAGCTTTCGTGGACTATAGCCCACTTCTTCGGATGCATATAGAATGGAACATATATTGAGGAGATATATATACACACATACAGAGAGCATAAACAGGTGGGAGTTGTCTTACCACCTCTGAGAGGCCAATTAATTAAGAGAAAAAAACTTTTGAAGTGATAACCGCATTTGCTCCAATCCCTTGGATAGAGACAAGCACCTACAAGATCTCTA